TTGACCGAGCATGCAAGGAGTCGGCAGGCCCGCGAGACTGGCCAAAATAAGGTGAGCAGGGGAGGGGAAATAGAAGAGAGAGCGGAGGGAGCGGACAGAAGAAGGTCGGAGAGGAGGCAGGGGGAAAAGACAGGTGGCATTAGTGGAAACCAGGACTGCCACTCTTCCCTGAGCAACCCCTCCCCTTTACCTCCTCGCTTGCCTTGATCTTGCTCCTTCTCCTGCTTGCTCCAGCGAAGCAGCCTCAATCCTTCTCCCTTGCTGTCCCGCCAGTGCTTCCGCATTCCCGCAAGCGAGGGCCTCTCTCTTCTTGAGTGGCACGACCTCTCTTTTATAGTAGAGAGGCCAGGTTGTCGGGCCCAAGTGCAGAAGTCCCAGGGCCAAAAATAGCACAGGCCTGTGCTAAAATTAGCATAGGCCTGCGCTAAAATTAGCGCGGGACTGGGACAGTCCCGACTTTGGGACACGAACAGTCAGTCCTGGGCTAAAAATAGCACGGGCCTGCGCAAAATATAGTGTGGGCCTATGCTAAAAATAGCGAGGGACTGCGCTAAAAATAGCACAGGACTGGGACAGTCCCGACTTCGGGACTTCGGGACACGAACAGTCAGTCTTGTGTTAAAAATAGCATGGGCATGCGCTAAATATAGTAGAGGCCTGTGCTAAAATTAGCACGGGACTGCGCTAAAAATAGCGCGGGACTGCGCTAAAAATAGCATGGGACTTGGCTAAAAATAGCACGAGACTTGGGACAGCCCCGACCTTGGGACACGAACAGTCAGCCCCATGCCAAAAATAGCGTGGCCTACGCTATATTTAGCTCGAGCCTGCGCTAAAAATAACTCAGGCCAACGCCAAAAATAGCGCGGCCAATGCTAAAAATAGCACGGACCAATGCTAAAATTTGTGTCGGGCTTGGGCTGGCCCGACTTTGGAACACTAAGGGTCGGCCTTGTTTTAAAAATAAAACACCCCTCTTAATCATAATAAGGGGCCCAATCCCGTATTCCCCTTGACTATTTTGGGCCGTACTCTTCCGGTCCGAAGTGGTCAATTCTATTTTTCTCACAAACCCTTGGTCCGTTTTCAGTACCGTTCGGACCGGGCCACACTAATCTGGCCCTTGCAGACGCGGCGGTTCAGCCCAAAAGCTGTGATTCAATCTCCATGGGGCTGGACCGTCGCGCCGTCTTGCCCGCTGACTCGACCCAAGGGCCAAACCAGCATGTGAACATTATGCTGATCGTGACCATATGCAGCCCTATGATGCGGAGGCTGGCCGCGATGAGTCAACTATACGTTGACGCGGCGCGCCGCTCTCTGACAGCGCCAAGGTTGCACCGGCGTCGACCGCCGACCCCGACCGCCGACTGTTTTGTCCCGACCGATCGGCGATCCCCCGACCAGTCAGAAAACAGGCATCCGCTGCTTTTTTTTTCTTCTGATTGCGCAGCCTTACTGCGCTTGCTGAGTACAATTGACATCCTCACAGAAACTTGGACTTTGTGGGGGGGGGGTCAGGGGGTTTAGGGGTTTAGCAGCTCAGGGTTTCAGGGGGCTGTTCGAGGGCTGAAAGGGGGTTGAAGCAGGTGACTGTTTCACAGATTCACAGCACGGGGCGGGGGACTTCAGGGGGTTTAGGGGTTTAGCAGTTGAGGGGTTTGGGGGGGCTGTTCGAGGGATGAAAAGGGGTCGAAGTAGGTGACTATTTCACAGTTTCGCGGACAGCGGACGTGGGGAGAAAAACAGAAAAAAAGAAAAAGAAGAAGACACAACAAGTTCGTGCATTGAACGCTGCGATTGCAGAGAAGCCACACTTGTTACACTCCATTATAGTCTCACTACCCACAACGCCCGTGAAGTCAGCGAAAACAGAGTCCAGACTCAGACATGAATGAAAGAAATGAGCAGGAAGAAGCAGATGATGACGAAGTGGGAGACGAAGGAGGAGTAGAAGGTGAAGAAGAAGGAGAAAAAGAACAGTTCCCTCCCTCTCTCTCTCTCTCTCTCTCTCTATCTCTCTCTCTCTCTCTCTCTCTCTCTCTCTCTCTCTCTCTCTCTCTCTCTCTCTCTCTCTCTCTCTCTCTCTCTCTCTCTCTCTCTCTCTCTCTCTCTCTTACACACACACACACACACACATTCGTTGTTGTTGCTCGTGGCAGTTGATGGCAACGTCTCAGACGATGACGACGCGTCACTCGACGATGGCGCGTCACTCGACAATGGCACGTCACTCGAGGGCGAAGCGCTGTTGCTTTCAGAGTCGTCGTCCTCTTGGACGCACGTCCTCCTCCTCTTCGGATTTCTTCTCGGCGACAGGGAGGCTGCAGCGACTTTCTTTGAAACTTTTTGTGCCTTCCTCTTCTTCGCCTGCTGAACAACCGCACACTTTTCTTGCAAGGACGCCGACAGTGTGACTGTCTTGCGTGCCCCGCCTCGTCCCCCTCGTCCGGCCGGTCCAGCTGGCTCCTTCAGCTTGTTCTTCCCTCCTTTCTTTCTGCCTGCCAAACTCCGGACTTGACGCACCTTGCAGGCGTCAATTTCGGGCGGTGACACTGCCTCACGTTGTGTGGCTGCAGCATGCGGGCGGTCGAGTCCTCCATCCTCGTCCACTTCAGCCCTCCTCCTGTCCACCATGCCCCGCGACCCGTCCTCGACATCTGTGGAAATGTCCTCACTCAACAACAAAGCGGGAGGAGTCGGTCTTGTGAATCTGGCCCAATCAGGAGTCTGCCCCCCGGAATCACTCCTCATGGGGGACATAGCAGCCAAATGTTTCTCGAAGTCCATCATCGAGCCTCTTGCAACAATTGGTGCGACGTGGTGCAACATGGAGGCGAATGTCTCCCCCAGCGGCAACCCAGGGTCCGAAGTGGAGAATGCATTTCTGTCGGTAGACTGGTTGTCCTCCGCTGCATCATGAAGCTCGTCATCCTTGCCCGAATCGATGTATCTGTCCTCGTGTTCCGCATGACCAGGAACGGGAGCGTCCACATACACACCAAAGTCTCGAATGACCCTCGCCGCAGCACTATCAACGTGAGCATCCCTCGATCCCCCGTCTGTCATCCCCCAGCATGCGGCTGTCTCCTCCACCTCGACTCATGGAAGAGGGGTGCGCTGCTCGTCGGAGGGTGTGCTGGTGCCCTGAACCGAAGATACACCACCAGACGCAGAGGTGCGTAGCCGTGCACAATGACTAGTGTCGTCGGCCAATGACACAGAAGAGGCCCCTGAAGCCCCACCGGACATAGGGCCAACCTGTGGTGTGATAGCGACATCCGTCGCAGAGCATGACCCACCGCCCGATCGCCGAGTGAACCTCTTGTCCGTTAGATGCACGTCGAGCAACTCCGCATCACCGTCGCTGTCGCAGTCGTCGTCCTCCTCGTCGTAATCAGCGATGACTATCTTCCCACGCTCATCGTTCGCGAGACGGCGAGGGCGGTACGAAACATCAAGTAGCCATGCCCCGTTGTCCTCCCTCTCCTCCTGAATATCATGTGCGTCGAATCGCGTGGTTCTCGATCTGCGCCCACAAGATTTCGACCAGTTGGCCGCCCTCCTACGCACCTCTGCGGGGTCATACTCCCCTTCTCGCATGAAGCCATCGAATGGTGCCTCGTCCTCGGGTGTCTCCCACTCCAGCTGCTCGGTGTTCACGAATCCCATCTTCGCCTTCGACATGCGCAACAACTTCTTGTTCCAGTGGATGAAGACGAGCATCTGCAAGTTCTCCAGGCTCAAGAAATTCCTCCTCTTGGTGTGGATGAGATCAAACGTGGACCAATTCCTCTCACATGGAGAGGCAGTGGTCCACATGCTCAACACTTTGACGTCGATCTTCGTCAGGGTTGGGTGTCTTTCCCGTACGTCAACCACCATTGCGCCATGGACACGTGACCGCCCGTCAAAGCCTCCTCGGAGTTCGGGCCAATCCACTCTGGATCCATGTGATGAAAACTCTTCAGGGAGTTCCAGCACTCGTTGTACTCCTTCGAGGTCTTCGCATGAATCGAAGCAAAGTGAGTCAGAGTGTTCGCAATTTCTTCGGACGCCAAGTCGTCGAAGAGTCGAGGCGATCTTTGTAGCGGGTGCAACATCCACGCCGCCACATGCACAGGCAGAGCCATCATTCGGACATGATCTTTGAGCTTCGTCATCACGATGCCCCTTGTCTCGCAGTCCATCGGTATCGCGACCATTGTCTTCTCCAACGTGATCCCCAAAGACCACATCTGCATACCCATCCTCCCATCTCTGTCCATGTTTTTCGTAAGGGCATATAGTGGCCCAAGCACGGTGCATGCCCGGTCGACGGTCGACCACCAAGTCGGGTCTCTTATGAGCTCCTTGCACGTCCGCGCCCTTGTCGTTGCTGCCCTGTCCCATGGAGAGTCATCCCACCGCGGTTTTGAAACAGTCGATAGCAACACCGGCTCACACTCTCGAAGTCGCTGCAGCATGAGGAAGCTTGTGCTGAATCTAGTCTCTCCTGACTGAATCAACTCCAACGGCCTCCCTTCTTTGATGCCCAACTGTGTCTTGTACTCTCTCCCGCTCTTACGGAACATCGCCAACGTCCGTTGATGTCTCTTGATGACGATTGTGATCTCCCTGCCTTGCAAAATCACCTCTCTGATCCATGGCACCGAAGCAATGTCACACATGAGAAGGTTGCACACGTGGCATGCCCACGACACCTATGGAATGCTCCTGATCACAGGGTCGTCATGCTTTTCCAATATCTTCTTCGCGGAAATGTTGACCTATGTCGAGTCCGTGCAGATCGCGTTCACCCTGTGCACCCCTAACTCCCGTATCACCTTCACCCACATCCTTGCCAAAGTCGGAGCCGACTTATCCTTCCCCTCCATGTCCACACTACGCACCATGACAGCCCCCGAATCGCCGGCTGCAATGAAGTTAACGACGGGCATGTTGCTGGTCATTGTTGTGTCGTCCGTCATCAAGGTGAGGCCCGTGGCATCCCATGGCTCACGTATCTTGTCCAGATCCATGTCCACATCTTTGTATTCCACGGGCAGGGCCTTCGTCCTTAGGTAATTGTATCCAGGCATCCGTAGCATCTTCCTCGATCTCGCCGCCATGTTCATGATCCTTTCCAAGTTCTTATACGAGTCTGAGCGCGCGACGTTGAAAGTGATGACATTCTCAAAGAAGAAGGAAGCAACCGCCTGGTCAAACTCCCTCTGCAGCTCATCCACTACGAAATTCTTCATGGACGACTGTTGTGCACCCGATGGAGGTCGTGGTGGGCAGGCTGCAGCCAGAACAGGACCCCGCAGGTGCTCAGCGATCTCTTCCGGGATGTCGGGCCCCCTGAAATCTCGAGCGCCCCTGTCAGCAACGGATGTTGAATCGAAACCCACTGCACTACCTTCTCCCGCCGTCCCGTCTGCCGCTGCCGACGACGTACCGGCCTCCCCCGACGCACAATCTACATCACCGGAAGCAAGATCCTCCACATCCACAACAACCGGCGGACAGCCCTGTTCGTTGTAGTAGTCGTTCAATTTCGCCAGCTACGCAGAGACCAATGGCACTTTCGGGTGGCTACTCCGAACGACAGCAAGAATCTCACCAGTGGTACGCGGACAGCGTGCAGTGACCGACGGTTGGGTGTGGTGTTTCACGACTTTGGTCAGCGTGCCGACGAACTCTTTGTTGCAGAGCCTGCAAGGCAACCTCCACGAGTTGTGTGATGTGCCGGTCGTCACCTTTTGTCCTTTGTTCGCCCATTTCCAAAGCTCCGACTGGCTGAGCGTCCTTTCTCTTTCTGCACCAGTCTCAGGCGCGAACGGTACTCGATTGGCCGCCATGGTCGTCGCACCGGAGGTGGATGGTTGGTTTGGATGAGGAGGAGAAGAAGAAGAAGCGGGAGTAGTAGAAGTGGAGGGAGGTGAGTGCCCGCTGCCCGACGAATTTACGGAAAAAAAAATTTAAAAAAAAATCGGAGGTGGGTGATGGAGAGAAGATTGAGATGAGGAAGAAGAGGATGGAGAGAAGATGGGGAAGAAGAAGAAGAAGAAAAAGAAGAAGAAGAAGAAGAAGAAGAAGAAGAAGAAGAAGAAGAAGAAGAAGAAGAAGAAGAAGAAGAAGAGAAGAAAAAGAAGAAGGAGAAGAAGAGGGAGTAGTAGAAGTGGAGGGAGGT